TGTGTGTCAGGGCTATATCCTCTCTCCAATTCAATCTGTATGCTGAGCAAACCATTCCAGGAACTGGACTCTTATGAGGAAGAATGTGGTAGCAGGATCAGATACCTCAACAACCTGCGTTCTGCAGATGACACAACCTTGCTTGCTGAAAGGACTTGAAGCGTTTGCTGCAGAAGCTCTGACACTGTGGCTTTCAATATGGATTGTAAAAGTCAAGAAAACTCATTTTCACCCCTGGTCCAACAGGTAGCATCATGAGAGAGGGAGAAAATACTGAAACTGACAATGACTTCATCTTACTTGGATCCACAATCAAAACATTCAGTACCAGCAGTCAGATCAGGAGACGTATTGTCCTTGGGATGTCTGCAGTCAGGGACCGCTCCAATTTTCTGAGAAGCAACGATGTGAATTTGAGGACTAAGGTGTGCCATATTTGGGCTGTAGTCTTTTCAATAACTTGCTATCAATCACTGCTGAGACAATGCATAATGACAAAAAAGGAAGAACAGCCTCTGAACTATGGTGCTAGAGATGAGTAGTGAACATCCCATGGACTGCCAAATAAACAAGGGTCTTGTCCTGGAGAAGGTGCAGCCAGAGTTGCTCTCTCCAAAGAGAGAGCAAAGCTTCATCTCACAGCCATGTTGCTAGGAGAGGCGATTCTTTTGAGAGTGATGTCATGCTTAGAAAGGTGGAGAGACAGAGAAAGAGAAGACCTTCAACCATGTGGACTGACACAGTGACTCCAGCAATGGCCTCAAGTGTGTCAGAGACTGTGAGGATGGCACAGGACAGACAGGACTAAGATCTATTAGAGGGTCTCTGTGAGTCTTACTCAACTCAACGGCCCCCAAAACAAATATATACCATTGAGGCCACATCCCTGAGGAGAGGACCCTTAGTCAGATAAAGCTAATCCAGTCACAAATCCTGCCTCAAAGTGCTAGCGGTTCCCACTGACAGCACGCAGGAGTTTAAGTGACCTGAGGCTCATGACACCCAGTATCCACCATGACAGGGTTTATGAACACTATTGCGCAGACATCACTGTCCCCTCAGGGTCCACACTCAGGGGAGACCCACTCTGTGACCCCCCTTAGCTCATCTGGATCTCTGTCTACAGGAAACAGCTGCACTAACAGCCCCCGGCCCCACTCACACACGTACTCACACTTGGGGAGGTGGCGGCCGTGCTGGCCCATCTCCTGCAGGTCTGTGGACCATCTTTCTCAGCCTTTCCCAGCATCCACAGGTGCCTGTGGTCCTTGTCCATCCCCCTCCTGTTCTGTTCTTCCATCCAGCGACACCGGGGCTGTTGCTCCTCACGGTGCCGTCTCCCTGCTGGCCTCTTCCTCCTCCTCTTCTGCTGTGAAGGACTCAAGTGCTTAGATCAGGCCCACCTGGGCAGCTCACACTCATCTTCCCGTCTCCAGGCAGCCAGGAGCGCACCTGCACCCTGAGACCCACCACCTGTGTGTGCTGGATCTCCAGTAATCCAGGC